GAGAGAGAGAGAGAGAGAGAGAGAGAGAGAGAGAGAGAGAGAGAGAGAGAGAGAGAGAGAGAGAGTGCGCGTCCTTGCATCCATGTTCTGTCGTGTTCGCTATACACGTCCACCCGAAAAGCACGACTGTGCCAGAATGTCTCCGACTGATCAGGAGATTGAGCCCGATAGTCTGCCCCAGGATGCATTTGCCTGATGGATAAGGACTCCCCATGTCACCAATCTGGAGGTTGGAACTCCAACCGTCTTCCCGAGAGGGATTTGACTGATGGATAAGGAGTCACCGCATCGCACAGAGTCAGCGATACCCCTTAAAAAACTGGTCGTCACACCAAGCCTGCAGCAGACTGTTGGTTCAACCCCCTGACATGAACAGCAGTAAGTCTGAGAAACTAGTTTGGCACAGCCATTAGCTTGGGTGTGATTATTATGATATATGTGTGTGTGTGGGTGCAGGTGAGGTGGGTGTGTGGGTGGAGGTGGGTGAGTGGGTGCGGGGCTGGGTCCGTGCTTGGGTGTGTGGGTGTGTGTGAAAGGAAGGTACAGTTCCCGGTTTACCATTTCAGGTCTGTGTTTTTTTTTTTTGTGTTTTTTTTGGGTGAATGATTACTGAGCAGGCACTGAGCTACATGGGCGAGGAGTTCATGTTCCAGCTGGAAGGAAAGTACAGGGATCTCGCCAACAAGGCACGCTTGCCCTGCCATCTGAATTTGGCGGCTTGCTATATCAAACTAAAGCGCCATGAGGAGGCCATCCAGCACTGCAACACTGTAAGGGGTTTCATCCGACTGCAGATCGCGTGTGCCATTCAAGAGGCTGTTTTGAAATGTTTTTGCTTTCCTTTGTTTCATTTTGTTTTTGTTTGTGTAGCCTTTGGATTCTGCAGCGCATTGCTTATGTATTTGTTTGTTCATTATCTTGGTGTGGGCTTGTCAGATCGTTTTTGACTGTGGACGTCAAGTTCCCAAGTTCTGTTTTGTGCTTTGTGCAGTAATAAGGGACATGTAGTGGATGGTTATCTTGATGTGGTGTTACATCTTCGACGCCACACGGGTCCTACCGGACCCGACATAGGGTAGAGGGACACAGTAGGGCCAAAGGCCCGACCTTGGGGGTACTACAGGCCGTAAAGGCCTTACCTTGGACCAGACCCGACGGGCCGGCCCAAACGATGTTACCGTTTGGGCCTGGCGGCGCTCTTGAGGCTGCCGCCCGCCGGTTGGGGCTGAACCGTCCATCTGGACGGTTCAGGGCACGGTCCGGCCTCGCAGCATAGAGGCCGCCCTCTGCCCACCGGTACAAAGGTACCGGTCCAGCCTCAGTGAGGCTATCGACCTACCGGCATTCTACCGGTACGGTATGGTACAGCGCGATACAGCGCTGGCGCTAAGATTAGCGCAGGAGCAGCGAGGAACAGCGCAGCGCAGATTAGCGCAGCAGCAGCAGCGGCGACTGGGTTACCGGCGGCCATAGCCGCCTGACGTATTGGGAGTTGGAGGCTTCTCTCCTCCCTCCCATCGCCAGTCCCCTCTCTCTCTCTCTCCTCCTCGGCTCCTTCTTCTTCTTCTTCTTCTTCT